TGGCAGAAGTTGACATCATTTCTGGACAACATTTTTTCATTGCTCATATTAATTGCATATTATGACTGAAAAGATATTTAAACTAATCTCATGTGATTATGTGATCTCTCCACGGGATTATTGAAAACTGTAGTAATTGTAAATAAAGCCTCTTAAATCTATGCACACTTCTTTAAATTATTTTATATATATTTTTTTATATAAAGTATGATCTCTCCATAGAGCACACTGAATTGTATCCACCATTACAACACTTTCTACTCATTGATGTTTTTAATCATAAACTATCTTTCTCTCTAGCCAAGAGCAGAAGTTGAAAAAGTTAGTGTCAGATATCGATTACCAAAAATCACCAAAAAAAGTTGTATCTAAATATTTTCATGTTTTCTCAAGCAAAGCAAATTTTGAAAGACCACTGAAAACACATGTTCTTATATTTTTGGCATTGACAAAGTAGGCCTATTTTGAAAGTATACATTATTTGGCAACATGCTTGAGCAAACGTGAACATTTCTGAGGATTTTATTGCTCAGGTTTTATAGAAATAGAAAAAACTGCGATTTGATTAATTATTTTCCAATTTTGTCTTGGTTTTGAGCAGGAACAGGAAAATGATGGATTTTGCAATTTCAAAATCTACTCAAAGCCTTACCACTGCTGAGGACATGAGGAATGAAACCCAACTTATGCCAATTGGGAAGAGTAGCCATCTGACTCCAGCACCTCTATCTATAGCAATCCTGGGAAAGCTGGTTCACATCTCATCCTCAACAGATTTCTCTATCAATAAAAATCCACCAAAAGGTGGTATAAATTCATAAAATACCCAGTTGTACCAAATGACCGCGAAAAACAACCACACACCTCCTCGCGCAACGGCTCTGTGACAGAAGATGAAAGCCTACAAGAGAGTAGGCTATGGTAGGTTCATTTTAATTTTCGACTTTTTAATCACTTTTTGTACGTTTTAGTCTGATGTTACTTGCAAGCTAAAGAGTATCGGAGCAAATATCTGAGCGAGAGCTCAGTTTCCGAGTCAAACTGTGTTAATCGGCTTTTTCCTCCAGCAGCGGCGCTGGCAGTCCGATTGGAACTAATTAACACAGCTTTACTGGGAAAGTGAACAAGTTACGTTAAAATAATATGTATACGATGAAGAAAAGTGTATGCATGTGTTTTTAACGTATACCTACCAATTTGGATTAACATTAAGGACACCGACAGCAGCTAGTAAATTATGCGCGGTCACTTTAAGAGACAATGCATCCATTATAATGATACACATCCTATTTCTTTCTCCACTGTTTACTTTCACTTTAGACATAACCGACAGTTTTTTCTAGGATACTCTCCAAGACGGGTATTTTGACATAATTTTATATGTATTTGTCGGTACAAGAGCAAGAAGAGGCAAATGAGGTGTTCAAGCGCTTTGAGACGTGTCTATCTGCGTGCGCACTGTGCGCACAGAACACCACGCGCGGGTGCTGAATTGGGCTCTTTCACATCTTTTTCTGGTTGCATGTTTAAACTGCGATTTGCATTTGTTCATTCAGGTGCAGGAGGACGCAAAGGAGAGCTCGGTTCGGTATTGCTGTCCGTGAGACGCGGCTCTCTGCGTGCACACCGAACACGGTGCGCGAGTACTCAGTTGAGTTTTTCCACGTCTTGTGTTTGAACGCTTTAAAGAAGACATATTATGCCCCTTTTTACAATATGTAATATAAGTCTCTGGTGTCCCCAGAAGGTGTCTGTGAAATTTCAGCTCAATATACTCAACAGATCATTTATTATATCATTTTGAAAATGCCTATTTTGAGTGGAAGCAGAGACACGCTGTTTTTCGGACCTGTGTCTTTAAATGCAAATTAGCTGCGGCTCCCCGCCCTCTTTTCCAGAATAGAGCTGCGCTAGTGATGGGAAGTGCGACTCTTTTCAAAGATTCGGCTCTTTTGGCTCGGCTCCCGTAGAGGAGGCTCTTACGGCTCCCAAATGGCTCTTTATTTAGTATCACTCAGAGCCTTCTATTTTAGCCCAATTTAGCAATTGTGAATGGTTTGTGAGTTGGTAAGCAATTTTTTTATTCAGTGTTTTCATAAAAGCCTTATTTTTATGCAGTTTTCTTTCTTACAAAAAAAAATAAAAATGCACAGATACTATTATTTAACATTTTAATACAACTTTAATTGAACAATTGAACACAGAACCACAGCAAACAAATAAATAAAGGCAAAAGTCTTAACATTAAGACACTTTAGTCTTTAGTGCAGGTTGGCATTCAGAAATATCAGATGTCTCAGCTTGGATGTGCTGATGCGATTTCTCCTCTCTGTGATTATTTGACCTGTTTTTGAGAAGACTCTCTCTGAGGGGAGCGATGTTGCAACAATGCAGTGTCTTCCTACCATTACCTTAACCAGCGCCCTTGCGTTTAAATCTGGCTCCCCCGTCTCTCTCTATCGCTCTGTGTACCTGGCCTTTACCACTACACTCGCTATCTTCGGAGCATGTGTCGCCCTTCCTTCTTTCACATAATGGTATAATCTTAGTCTGTCCTCCCATGTGATTAGCTGCATGTGTATTTTCTTATTTTTTAACGAAAAAAATGCATAAAAATAAGGCTTTTATGAAAACACTAAATAAAAAAAATTCTTACCAACACACAAACTATTCACAATTTAAATTGGGCTAAAATAGAAGGCTCCGGCTGAAGATTCGGCTCACCCCGACGGGAGTTAGCTCTTCTCGTTCGCCACAAAGAATAGGCTGCCGGCTCGTTTGCGAACGACACATCACTAAGCTGTGCCATTACAGCTCGTATCTGCTAAAAACATCTGTTTTGGTTCTGATTATCATGTTTTTCGTGCTGAAATCATACGTTATAAACCATATAAGTTTAAACTTCTGATATACGGTTTTCTGAGCGCACACATCCGAAGCACACGGACAGAAAGCGTCTGT